GGGGGGGGGGGAGAGGGGGGGGGAAAGGCTGGGGCAGGGGAGAGGGGGGGGGAGGGGGGAGAGCAAAAGGAGGTTACCCACCCCCAAAAGGGGGGTGGCGACTAAGTCTCCAAGCCTTGGGTTTTCTTTCCTAGGGAGAGAGAACGGCTAGGTGAAGAAGAGTGCTCCACATTTTGTTTTTATTTCTTTATAATATGTTTATTTGGAGGCTTTCTTCTCTTGGTCAAAGTTAAAATAATATGTTTCTCTTGCATATGATTAGTTGGTGCAAAGTCATTTGAAACCATGTTATATATATACTTTAGAAAACGATATTCTAACTACTTTAACGTACGGAAAGGGAGATCGAGCTCGTATGCAAGGGATTGAGCACAAGACATTGAACAACTGCCCTAACCCATATGTGAGAGAACCAAATTTGTTTTAGGGTCCATAGCCATCAAGGACAGTGCAACCCAAGTCCAGAGAAAGCCCACGGTTATCAACCCTTACGCAACCAACTGGCCCAGAACAACATCGTTGATTTATGAATCCATAATCTATCCGACGGCTAGAAATCGAGGAGTCACAATCCACCATTGGAAAGCTGCCAGCTGGGCAAGGAAAACAATCTCCTGTCCGGAGATCTCCAAACGCGTCAATACTGCATCTCCCACCAAACACAAAATTCTTTGCTCTTGCTTCCCGTCAACGGATTTCTCTCGCCAATACTCGTATTGACTTGGCTTCGATTCCTCTACTTCTTCTATGTGAAGGTCAGTGTTAATCTCTGTCCTAAATTTTGTTCATATATTTGATCGGATTATTGAATTGATTTATTTTTCTTTTGTCTCTGCATTTTTTTTGCTAATTGTAATTAGCAGATTCTGAGAATCGATTGTGAAATTTTCAAATTCATGTTTAAAACTGTGCCTTTGGCTTATTCTATTAAGATTTTAAGAGATCCAGGGGTTTTGAATCGTTTTGTATGAAACACGAAATGTTGAGACTAAATTTATTACTCTCATGATCAAGAAGGGCCAAATAATGAAGTTGTATAGAAATTTGTTATGAATTAGAAATTATTCACGCCTTTATTTACAATTTTGGTTGGGTTTTTAATCATTGTTATGCTTTGGCTGGAATTATGAATAGACTTTATCTTCTATTTTTTTTTTATAAAAAAAATCGTGCTAAACCAGTGTAATTTGGGCTTTCCTGTATATAACGATGCTTATGAGTTGTGGTTTAAGGTAATTGAGATGTTGCAATGGCTGGTTTTGATTTAATGTATTACCTAATTTATCTTCCAGGGATGGCAAGTGGGTTCGGGGAATCAACGAGCAGGCCATCCCAAGGGCCTTCTTTCTCCAGCAGCAACAATAGCAACAGCGATGCTGGTAATTTTGAATGCAATATCTGCTTCGACTTGGCCCAAGACCCCATTGTCACCCTATGTGGCCATCTCTTCTGCTGGCCTTGCCTGGAGGAGAATTTGGTGCCCTTATATGGTAGGGGAAAGACATCAACCGATCCAAGATCGAAGGCAATACCTGGTATTAATATCCCAAACCGTCCAGCAGGACAAAGACCTGAAACAGCTCCTCCACCAGAACCAAACCATTTTCCCCCACGTGGGTTTGGATTCATGGGAGGCTTGGGGGGTTTGGGAGGTTTTGCACCCATTGCAACCACAAGGTTTGGGAATTTCACCTTTTCGGCAGCTTTTGGTGGCCTTATCCCATCTCTCTTAAATTTTCAGCTACATGGGTTTCCTGATGCTGCAATGTATGGTGCAACTGCTGGATTTCCTCATGGGTTCTCAAATTCATTTCCTGGCGGCCATCCACATAGATACCATCTTCACAGGGCTACAGGTCAAGGACAACAAGATTATTTCCTGAAGATGTTGTTTTTATTTGTTGTAGTTTGTGTACTTGTGGCTCTTATGTGGCAATAGATTGAATATGCTATCAATTTCAAATTGCTAAGTTGCTAACTGATGTTTAGGGCGTGGTCAACCTCGTGGTTTTGTATATCTGCTAGTGTATCTTTGTTTTTCTGATCAGGGGAAGTGTTGATAATTTACTATTACCAGTCATGTTGTAGAGTTTTTTACGTGTCACTGTCATCAGAATGGCCATTGTGGTTTACTTGACATGATAGCTATGGTTTGTTTGACATGATAATTGCGGTTTGCTGGATTATTAGCGAACTTCACATGCAATGTATGACATTACTTTGTATTCTTGAATGGTATGAAGTTCTCCTAGATCTCATGATACTTTTATCTGCGGAATCCGATGTATACTGTCTGAATTTGACACTTTTATGTGTGCATGCCCTGCGTGAGTGGTAGATCTGATTGTCATGGAATGCGTACCATTTTTGACATGTTTTCTACAAGTTAACACAAGTATACGAGAATACAAAGCAATTATTATTTTTTGGTCTGAAGAATACAAAGCAGTTAGATATGCATCAATCTTGTCTAAAGATGCATTGTTTATTTGCAACACAAGTGTTCAAACCGTTTTTCTGTCGAGCTTTTTGTTAGTCTTCTGATTGATCTGATCCACCAATTTAATGGATACCTACTGCCTGCATGTGGCCCCTTTTTCTAGCTCTGGATTTGCTTCGTTCAATTATTTATCGACATTACTTTTTCTAGCTCTTGTAATTTAGCTTAGGCCATCTCTAATCCTCCTCTAAACAGTTTCCCAAGTTCAAATTGGTTGTTTGGGGGCTCCTCTCCTCAAGTTTGATTTATTACTTGAATACTCTCGTCAAACTTTGGCTTTTACCTCTACCATATGCTTTTGTTAGAAAAGAGAGAAAGGAAAGAGTTATGCAGTCCCGATTAACATCCTTTTTTGAGTATTTAGATTTATTTCCATGATCCATCCAGACTTGCCTTTAAAAATAAACGATTTTTTCTACTTTAATGTGATAGAGGCTGGCCGGGCATATGTACTTGCTTGCAGTGTGACAGAATGCCATTGGAAAACGCCAATACAATACCACCTCAAAGGAGAGGCAAAAGTGGCACCGGCTTGGCCTAATTGGCCTCAACGAATTGACTTGTAAATTGTCGCTTAGTGCTATAAACATATCTTGTCTTCTTCACAGCGAGTTAGGCACACACAGCTATAAATAAAAATAAATACATTTCATTAAAATAAAATGAAAAAACTGTAATCTTGACAAACTAAACTAGTTCGCATAGAGCTTCTCTTTTAAATTTATAAATATATAAATAAATAAATAAATAAGTAGTGTCGAGTTCATAAGGAGGTTGTATAGGTAGGTTTCCAGAAAGTAGAGAAAATTATTAGGAGGCATGAAAGTCACCTCTCAATATTAAAAAGTTTGACTTTGAATCTTTGAACGTACCCACCACCATGCTTGCTCTCCTCTGCTGCACGCGAAACACGACTGCAATGCATTGCATACTACTAGGGTATGTATGCGTCAGCCACCGACAAATACAAATTGTATGCACTTTGAAGATCCATGGATGCAAAGGAGAGGAGATGACTTTCGAGCATGTACTAGTATATTCAAAACAAATTAATACTAATAATAATGGCGCAAATTTCATAAGGATTCGAAATTGTAAAATTAATTTATGCAATAATTATATAGTTGGTTAATTAATTATGTGCACGCAATTAATATGCAAATCCCAATCCCAATCCCAATCCCTAGCGTCTATCTTTAGAATTAGATAGAGGAGAAGCTTTAGCATGTGCATGGTGAAGTTCATTTATGCTTCCTTTTATGACGATCATGGCCCACGCGCGTTTTGGCTTGTCGGTGACTGTGGGACCACTCTTTACATAAACTCAATTAAACATAATTAATTAATGTCATCTCTATTCATTCCGTGCTCCATTTTTTTTAGCGCAACTTAACTATTTTCATGCGGTGTTGCTGAAAATATAGATCAGTAAGAAAGATGAAGAAAACCTTCGTGATATGAAATTGAAGAACCTGGATAAGACTTGTTTATGACATCATCATTTATGGTTAATCTTAATTAATTTCCTCCAAAGTGCAAAACCATGACATAAGAATAATGATAACGATGCTTTGGATATTGACTTTTGGGTACATGATAATGATGGCATCGTGTGTGACGGTGATGTTCACCATAGTAAATAAATTGTTTAATTCTTTGAGTTTGTTGCTCTTATTTGAGTAATAAAATCAAATAAAGTATACCAAGTGTGTTCTAACGAATCTGGAAAACGAATTTTGAACGTTTCTTCCTAATTTCTGCTCACAAATGCCTTACTAATTCTGATCTAACCTGCAAAATGAGGGGAATATTTGTTTTCCATGATTTAGCTGCGAAGAAGAACAAAAGAACAAGGAAAATCAATGATTAAGTATCTGTTAAGGAAAGTCGGAGTCGAAATTTACTTAATGACACGTATAATAATAATATATGTTGCTAGCGACGATCCAACAATTAAGTAGGTTTATAATTGAAAAAGTTGGCATCTCAGACCACATCACATAATTAGTTTAATACATTTGAGGTTTTAGCACATGATATGATTGTGACATAAAATATTTTATCCTCGTCTCCTCTGGTCTGGAATGGAGTATGCGTATGTTAGGAGAAAACTTGGTAACAAAACCAAGTATGAACTTGTCTTGTTCGTTTCCTTTGAATTTTTATATGGCTCTCTCTCATTTGGTTGCTCAAAAATAGTTTTCCGGACGGCGATACATCAACACTTTGAGACAGAGAGGGATATCGTCCTATTATTATTATTGTATTGACCATAAAATAAAAGTGAGGAAAATGAGAAAAATATTTTTGTGATGAGAAAGATTAATTGTTACGAATCCATGAGTCTACTAGTCGAGGAAGCATCCACGACCTTGCGATTTGACAGACAGAAAGCTTCAATTCAAGACATGTACAAAGCTGTGGGGCCCAATCGACGTTGTCATGAAGAAAAACAAAGGGTGAGATGATCTAATCGAGTCAATTCAATCATTCCCAGCCTTTGCATCTCTCTACGCCGCCCTTTTCTATTCATTTGGGTTTGGCACCCTTTTACTTTTTCTTATTATGTGCATAATTTAATTATTTTGGTTCCTAATGATTTATTTGCATTCCTGATGATAATTTATTTTCTTATTATTAATCTGTTTATAGAGATTTCTTCTTTTGTTTTTCAAGACATGTTGGATAATGATATCTTATGACTTAATTTGTTTATGGCCAAATAAGTCGGACATTTTATAGGTCCTATATAACGAGTTAGTTTTTGGTGAACTGTCCGTAGTCAGTCAGTAATAGTTTAATAATAAATAAACAAATAAATAAAGAGAGGCAGTCAGTCTTTATAAAATCCCTAAAAAGCTACCAAATCAATTCTAATTCTAATTTGGTATGAACAAAGAATAACCAACTTGGCAATTTCAAAATAGAAAATTTACCTACTCGTACAAATTTGAATCCACTTACCTACTACTAAGCCATAATTCATGTAATTCTTTCGATGAATCCACAACAAACTAGAGAATAATATCAGCTAACGAAAAAAAGAGTATTAATTTGCAAATTAGTGATCTTAAGTTCGAACCCAATGACACCTTGATAATATGTGTATGAGAAATCCCTTTTTTCTTTATAATTTAAATTAAAAAAACAAGAACATTGAACTAGAAAGAAAGAGATGCATTGCATCATCATTCATCATAGCTATGGCCTAAATGTGAACTCAACAACTCCCTCTTCCCATAATATTCTTCACTAAAGAGCCTAAAGCCCCTCCTTTCCCATGCCCTGCACACACTGCACCCATCCAGCTATTCATTCCAATTCTCCTCTCTTTATTTATCTTTATATTTCAAAAAAGAAAAAAACTTACAAAGAATACAAAAGCGTGTTGTTCAAAGTTTAAACCCCCTGCCCATATATAAAGCTAAAGCTATCCCAATATATACAGATCTCACTCTCTCCCTCACTTCCATTTTCAAACTATGCCCATGCCTCCCCCTCAGCCACCACAACTCCTCCCCCTCCTCCTCCTCCTCCTCTTTGCCTTCCTCATCATCCTCCTACTTCCCGCTCCCTCAGTCTCTGCTACCACCACAAGCACATCCAATGCCACCACCACCACCACCCAACAATTTAGGGAAGCCCCTCAATTCTACAACTCCCCAGACTGCCCTTCCATCACCCCCCTCCACCACGACGACGTGGACCCCGACGAGTCAGACGATGACCACATGATGATCTGCTCCTATCAAGCCGTCCATGTGGCAATGACACTCGACACCGCCTACATCCGCGGCTCCATGGCCGCCATCCTCTCCGTCCTCCAACATTCCTCCTGCCCCCAGAACGCCGTCTTCCACTTCGTTGCTTCCGCCACCGCCAACGCCTCCCTACTCCGCGACCCCGCGCGCCCCCCACGTCGCCGGCCCCTCCCCAACCCCCACCCCCCCCGCCCTCGACTGCCCCCTCAACTACGCCCGCAGCTACCTCGCCGACCTCCTCCCCCTCTGCGTACGACGCATCGTCTACCTCGACTCCGACCTCATCCTAGTCGACGACATTGCCAAGCTCGCCGCCACCCCCCTCGGCCCCTCCTCCGTCCTCGCCGCCCCCGAGTACTGCAACGCCAACTTCACTACCTATTTTACCCCTGCCTTCTGGTCCAACCCCTCACTCTCCCTCACCTTCGCCGACCGCAAGGCCTGCTACTTCAACACCGGCGTTATGGTCATCGACCTCGACCGCTGGAGAGGCGGCGACTACACCACGAAGATCGAGGAGTGGATGGAGCTGCAGAAGCGGGTGAGAATCTACGAGCTCGGCTCGCTACCGCCGTTTCTGCTGGTGTTCGCCGGGAACATAGCGCCGGTGGAGCATAGGTGGAACCAGCACGGGCTCGGAGGTGACAACTTCAGAGGGCTTTGCAGAGATCTGCATCCTGGTTCGGTGAGTTTGTTGCATTGGAGCGGGAAGGGGAAGCCATGGGCGAGGCTCGAGGCCAACAGGCCTTGCCCTCTGGATGCTCTCTGGGCTCCTTATGATCTCCTGGAAACGCCATTTGTTTTGGATTCATAAAAGTGTGGAACAAAACGGTGCGTTCTGGGTTTGAGATGTGAAGCCGCCGCAGACTGTGAATTGTGCGTCGTCGTCGGATGATGAGCGAGCGAGATTGTGATGATCAGTCTTGGCTTGGAAATGCGATTGAAGAAGGTCGGTGGAAGGAAACATAATTGAATTGTATGTAGATGATGATGATACAGGTACATCTGGAAAATATGTATAAAAAAAAAGACTGACGATGTATACTCAAAAAGTAATGAAAATGGAATAAATCATGAATTTTTGTCACCAATAAAAGTGTGATATATAATGCGTAATTGTATCATATTCGTCTGTAATTCATGTATAGCAAAAGAGCTGTTTTAATTTGGTGGCTTAATTCATGATATTTTGGTTTAAATTAGTAAATCAATATTGTTAATACAGTTTTTGTTCAATGTGCGTCTCTTTACACATGTGGCGGAGAAAGTGAGAGATCGATTTTCCCACTATGCTAAACTATATGTGATTATAACTATAACGAAGTATTTGATTTAGTGACATTTATCTCCACTTAGTTAAACTTAAAAAAAGTTTGAAGTTCGACTCATATGAGACAAAGATTGTGTATATTTATAGTGGTAATGCGGTTGAGTGAATTACATTTGGTTAGTAGGTTAATTATCTCTATTACCATCAAAAGTAGCTAGTAGAAGGGTCCATTAACCCTTCGTCTGATTTGGTTTGGACTTAGCAATCGGTCATAGCGACTGAAAACTCAAGATTAATGTCTTATTATGGAATGATTTTCAAACTTCATTAAATGCAGTCTTGGAAGTTGTTTGTTATTAAGTTTATATTCAAAGGATGTAAATATTCTCCATTATTTAATTGGGTGGGGTTTGCTTCGAATGAACGTATCAGCTGGAAAGACATTTGCCAGCTTATTTGTCTCTTAAACTAAGTAACAAAAAAAATTAGGTTGAGGATGGTACGTAGAAACGTACTCTGAGTCTATCTAGAGGCATTGAGTCAGTGTTAATGAAATAATATGAGTAAACAAGTTTCTTTCTATTCTATTCTACCAACAAACTTATGCATTCCCATTCCCTTCACTTACGATTTGAACAAAGTTTGACTTGATAAAAAGGCCAACCTATGGCTATGAGGTTCTTCATTCGAAGCCTTCCCTTCCATTGGCAGAGGGAAAGAAAAAAGTTGCATGGAACCAAAACTTACCCAACTGCTTGTCAATCTGCAGTGCAGGCAGCCACAATCGAAATGACTCAATTAATAATAGTGTCTTTGAAAATAAATAAAAAAACAAACGAATAAATGACATATTGAAAAAAGTAATTGTCATCCATCGTGGCTTCAACTATTTTATATTTGGTTTCTAGTCGAACAGATCGTTCAAATGCGAATGCCGGCCAACCTGTTAGTTTTCTATTTTAAATTCTATAAGTATATATATATATATATTTATTTATCTGAGACAAATGATATGGAGTGTCGGTAGAAGGGGCAAAACGACAAGGAAAAAGGTCGCAATGCAAGCCGTAACCAAGAGAAGGACCACGCGGCAGCATACTTTTATATTCAAGAGGTTAAAAATTTGTACGGTACTTTCCCATGCGAGCCGGATGAAGAAGAAGAAGAAGAAGATCGTACGCATGTGGGTCCCACGTACTTTTAGGTCCTGTTTTACAATTAACGACTCCTCCTCTCTTCCCCCGGCCAAAGCACAAAAACTTATATAAAATGAAAATAATACTATTTTGTTATTTTTAGTCAATTATATTATGTTAAGTGAAAAAGTTATTATTTGTAGTATAATATGATTGCTCGAGAATAGTAAATACTTTTATTCCCGTCACACACAAGTGTTTTTCTTGCCAAAAAGCTGTCATGCCGATCCTCTTTGGTTCTTGTACGCGTTCTATTTCCTTCCATTTAATCATCTGTTTTTTTTTTCTTTTCTTTTTAATACTAATTTGTTTTTAATACGCGTATTCAATTATAGGAATAATTAAGGGATGTCCTCAATCTAAATATTCTGTAGTAGGTGTTTACTAAATCTGTAACCAAATAATTCAGGCTGATTTCTTCCAACCAAAGATACAAGATGCGAGGCATGATTATAACTTAAAAAATAAAATACAAGATAAGTATACATATATTCCTCTGTTTATTATTAATTGATCATATGTCCGCGATAGATAGATTAATCTACCTACCATGATCATCACAACAAACCTGGACTTGGAGAATACTCCTGCTCTACTCTTTCTTTAAGAAGTATATATATATACAAGAGTTATCATTGACTTTCATATTTCTTCTTAAGTACTTGTTTCAATTATTTTTAGAAGGAAATTAGTTAACAAAATCCAGCATTACTGATAAGATGGAGAACATGAATGAAGTATCCATCTCACAGGCTCAAAGCTTTGCGTTTTTGGACCACCAGTTTTCTCTTCTGACAACAACTTGGGCAATTGAAAAATGATGCTTGCTTTGAAGTCTGCGGTGAAAGTATGGTGAAGTGGTCTTCATCCACCGTGGTACCTAATAGACGTTTCATAAATAGCTATGTAGCGACATTTCATATAAAGCTTGGATGTCATTATTAATCCCACTAATGAACACCCCTCCACGAATGTCACTTGTATTAAAACACAAAATTTGAAAACAACTACACAAAAACGAAGCTGAAAGCCTTGGTAGGGCTTCGGTGTGCTGCTAAGTGGGATGACCTGAAAATGCATTGCTTCCCTGGTTGATGGTCAACTTTATACCTTTCTTCACATGTAGGTGTTTCCAATTTTCTACGCAGAGCTCAGCTGAATGCTGATACTGGACATGCACATGGCATATTATTTGTGCCTGCCTGCCTGTCAATTATGGTGGTGCCTGTAAGTATACGTTTTTATTAACATGACGCATACCTCCCACCAATTAATAAATAAAAAGATGTGACTTCTTTTTCTTTTTTTTGAGAGGGAAAGCTTGTTGTTGCTATTAGGTGTCTGTCCTGGATTTGATGTCAATATTTTTGTATAATCTTAATTTAATCAACAAAATTAAAGTAAGGAGGGACAATGATGTCATGTTAAATTCATGGAGGACCCATTCATGAAGTCAGTGGAAACTCTCAACTTAAAAAATAATTGAGTTTTTAAAGTCCACATGAAGGCCCAATTTACTAAAAACTGAACTGATTGAAGGATCTCTTGAGTCGACTAAATATGTAGATCTGCAGAAAGAATGTGAACATGAGAAAAAGATATCAATGTACTTCCACATTTAACTCAGATGTGTTTTTGAGAACGCACTCATAGCTTCAGACATGTAATGTGTTTCAGGGAGGTCCTTTAATATTTGAAGACTAGAATCTCTATGAGAAAAAAAACAAGAGAAGAGAAGAGAGCCAACCCCTTACGGAAAAGTCTCTGTGCTCGATTCAGATTTTCTCAGTTGGACAAGCCATTTTCAAGAGCATTTGGTTCGACGGAAAAAGAGAGAGCTTTCGCAATCGTTCAGTATGTGATGTGATAGTAACTGTAACATTAGTAAGAGCCAATGGTCTTGGACTGCACTTCACATGTTTTTGTAAAGTGACTGTATGTTAACCGATGGTCTCTGTGAAATTAGTAGGAGCCAAACGAGTTATATTTTGCGTTTGCGACTTTTGTCCCACATCGGAGACATCCAGAAGCAGCGAAGCAGCTGGGCGTATAAAACGGAATGAGGTGATGGGTTCCAACTCATACCTTTCTCGGCCTTTTGGCTAAGATCAAGTGTAGTATCTGTTCTTATCAGTTTAATATCTGATATGTGGGCGCGATATTAAATTAATTTATTTAGGGGGAGAGCCCACCACAGTAGCTTGCTATTGGGGTTCTCGAGCGTCGCCCAAGCGTTGCACTATAGCATGGGCCTGGCGCACCCCACCAAATCTAGTTTAGAGTTTTCTTTGGGCCTGCAATCGCCAATCGAAGTAAAATTAGAAAAAGAAACCAAGTCAGCATAAGCCCTTTTTAACTATTTTTTGGGTCAGCCAGTCAGCATAAGCCCTAACAAGCTCATGAGCATCGCCAACTGAATAACTTTTCTTGCGAAGACAGAGACAATTCATTCGAATATGGTTTGGGTTGGTGAAACATTTGAGCTCTAGACTATATAATATATATGAACAAATTATACAATTAAGACTTGAGGTTTGGCCTAAACTTTTGGTGCTTTGAAGCCAGTTTGAAAAAGCCTAAGTCGGGTTTAGCTTCAGTTTTCGGAGAACGGTGTTAAGGAGTTGGTCGGAGAACTCGAAGGACAGCTTTTTAAGGGCATCGTACAGCTGGAACTAAACTTTTCTTCTTACTATTGTAACGAAAAATAATAATAACTTTAACCAGCCAATGCACTCTGTGGTGTTTCTAAGCAGACCACAAACTTGTGAAATTGATGGAAAAGAGAATAATGATCGTGGGGAAAAGAGAATGCATCACATCTTGCGTTTTTTTGTCCCATATCGCCAGCATCATAAAACAGGGAAGCTTGCATGCCATATAAAGACGAAAACGTGTTGCTGAACAACGCATACCTTTCTCGGCCTTTTGGCTAAGATCAAGTGTAGTATCTGTTCTTATCAGTTTAATATCTGATACGTGGGCCATCGGCCCACACGATATTAAATTAATTTCTTTAAGGAGAGGACCCATCACAGTAGCTTGCTACTGGGGTCTTCGCGCGTCGCCTCCGCGTTGCACTACAGCACTGGCCCGGCGCACCCTCCAACTCCAGTTCAAACCTGTGTCAATGTTAAAATTTTGTCAATTCAGATTCCGAAATATTATTCATTTGGACTGGAAAAGAGCTTTCAAAATGCTTAATACTTTCACTTGTTAATATTCAATGTGATTATTGGTGAGAGAAATCAGTCATGTTCCCCACAGGCCAATTTCATGGCAACTCTTTAGATGTTGGAAGGGTCACGTATATCAAATGTTGACGCAAGTGGGTGAGAGAGTGGCAAGTCACAAGTGATTACGTAAATGTTATTTATTCTAACAAGAATTTCGAGGTTGCTTCACCGCATTTAAACAAAGCTTGTGTATAAATCAGCTTGGTCATTAGCTTACTCACGAGTCACAAGGTTAAAACCCATTGCAAAGTAAGTCAATCTCGCAAGTGTCGCCCAATTGCTATGCTGATGGCTATGCTGATGACTCCTGAGAAACTACACTAAAGACTCCTGAGAAACTACACTGAAGTTTCATGTGACCCAACTTTCCAACTTACATTTATTAGGCAACTTCTTTCAATCCTCAACTTTTCCACTTGACAACTTGTTGCAGAATATATATATATCCTACTAGGCTCTAGCAGGCTATAGCTATAGCTGTAGCGATTTATTTATTCGACCCTTTGTTTCTCCTGTACAATCTGTAAAAAATGAAAATCATGCACAGGGAATCCAAGCTCTCCAAATGGTTCTCTAATAGCAAGAATTTCAAACTAACCATCCCTTTCCTTCGTTCAAAACCCAAAAGCCAGAGCCCTTGTCCTACTCAAAATCAAAACATTAGCATCGCAAAAGATGACGAGCTTGCAAAGGTTTTTGATCATTTTGACACCAACAGAGACGGAAAGATCTCGTGTGACGAACTTCAGGCTTACTTCATGTCGATAGGGGAATCCATGTCCAATGCAGAGGCTCAGAGTGTGATCAACGAATTTGATAACGATGGTGACAACTTATTGGAGTTTGAAGACTTTGTGAAATTGATGGGGAGGGAGGGTGATGCCAATGATGATCTTAAAGGGGCTTTTGAGATGTTTGAAGTTGATAAAGGTTGTGGGTGCATAACACCAAAAGGGTTGCAGATTATGTTCAATCGACTAGGTGAAGCCAGATCCTATGATGAGTGTGTGTCCATGATTGGAGTCTTTGATCTTGACGGAAATGGAGTCCTTGATTTTAATGAATTTCTCAAGATGATGATTTCAACTTAAAATAAATTTCTCAAGATATAGCCGTTTGTGTGTCCTGTGAGTGTGGTGAGGGATAAATACTGTCTTGAGTTGAAGTTGTTTGACTTTCATGTGTTTTGTCGTGTAATTAAAGCCATGTTAAGCTTCTCGTGCAAAACTATACTTCTTATCAACATAATGAAATACTATGATAAGTAATGTTCTCTTTTCAGCCATGCTTAGGGCCTATTTGGTTAAGTTTTAAAGGGCTTTTTTTAATTTTCAGAGAACGTTCGGTAGCCCAAAAGTAAAAAACACTCAGAAAGTTTTCATAAAATGAAAATAAGTTCACATGTACTTGTAGAAAACAGAAAAAAGATGTTTTCATTCTCACAGGAAACACTCAAAACAAGAGAGAGAGAGAGAGAGAGAGAGAGAGAGAGGAGGTTTTGGCCGAAGCTTCCTGAGCTCAGGCCGGCAGCTGTGGCCGTCAATTGTAGAGAATGAAAGTTCTGTATAGAGACATTGTGAGACAGGAAAAAAATTATAAATCAAATCATTAAATTGATTCATGGCATTACAGCCACAAACATAAAAATCAGCTAATACCATGTAGTCAATACCTATGCACTTTGGCCTTGGGTTCTAATATGAAAGGCCAAGTCGTAATTATGTGAAAAGAGAAGTGCCTCCAAAAAAAATTCAAGGATTTAGTCCTCAATAAGGAAACGTCCCTGTCATTCTAATATGGTCTAAGGTACTTCGAAGCCCATATTTCTGCACTGCCTGTTGACCAGCCCGGAATCCATCTCCATATACTGGGGACATGTCTGATTCGACCTGGTGTTTAAAGAACCCGCCGAGCTTCTTCTCGAACTGAGATCTTGTACCCTTCTTCGATGCCAAGGAAGACGAGGTTGATGCCACATTGCTGCCTGAGCCAGATATAAGCTCGGCCTCTAGCCACATGTAAGCTAGAACCTGACAGATACCCTCTTCAACATCTTGACTAAGAGGTCGGTAACCTTCAACAAGTGTTAATAATTTAGTCATTAATTTGCACCTTGATGTCATGTTTCATCTGCAATTCCTTTGAGAAGGAGAAAAGAAAAGGAACTAAACAAACATATAAATGGATCCATCTAAATAGCACCTTTAAGCCGCAGCCACGCATGCATCATCTCATGTGCTAGAATAGACCCAGTCAGCAACCTGTAAGCAGAGGTTTCCAGTCATGCAACAGATTCAGCCATGAATTACAATTGTAGAACCAAGACAGCCACGAAGGTCTTGGTCAATATCCTTTTCTCATTTTATACATAAAAAAAAAAGTTGGCAAAATTTCATCATACATGAGGTGTAGATATCTGTCTGGGCCATGCCACACAAAACGAAAACTATAGATAGAAATCATACCTTGGAAGCCCATACAAGATTAGAATTGCGGTCACCTCACAGCGACGAGTTAGCTTGTATGGCTCTGTTACCATTTCCATGGCGTGGTTTCCTCCCCCAAACCGTGGCCGCTTTGAAATCTGGTGGTTCTCAGATAAATATTTAGATAAGTTGCTAACCAACGAAAAAGTACCTTATCAAAACTCAACCATTGTAGAAAGCGAAAAGAATATATTCGCAAAACTCTTACCGTGCTAATAGTCTGTTCTTCAGAAAGGCAAAGGCCTCTGGTCTCAGGCATGTGATAATGGCCCTGAAAATGACAAAAAGTTTATCAAAGTCGGTCGTAATTTGTAAAGCTTAAGAGTAAAAGCTACAACAACAGCAGATGGGTAGTTTTGTAAGGGTCCAAATAACAATTTGTGATCCACTTCTGCACATACTCCTCTGTAATTTGTAAATCAAATCAGATTCTTTAAAGAGACATAAAAAGGTATCAGAGACAAGTGAAAAAAGGTCACTGATTAACGTCCGACTTCCCAATTATAACCGTGGAAAACTGTCCAACTTATCATACTAAGTAGATATGTTTTTAACTAATTGCCCTTACATTTCTTTCTCCTTCTCTTGCTTCATTTAACGCTTGTCTTTCAACCAAGAGTAACGGAACTTGCTGCTCCAATTTCATATTTAAACCTTCATAAAATTCCTGTATATCAAGATATAGGGGTTGGCATGCACTGGTATCCATGATTGCAGAGTCCAGACACTCTAGACAGAGCTTCCGACCATCATTAAGGGGCACATATTTTGTGTCCTGTGGCTGCATTTAATGAACATAGACATCTTGTTACCTTTCGACCCAAAAAAGAAAAAGAAAAAAAAAAGACATCTTGTTACCAACTCTTTTGCTTTGCTAGTCCTTCTTTCTTTTAAAACAATCTGGTCAGTCATATTTCATTGCAGAATTGCAGTAAAGTAATTTATTCTGACTGACCTCCATTCGCTCACAGCTGCAGCACCGAGGAGTAGTATCGTGTTCATGAGAAGGGCAGTATTTCTGGACCCAAAATGGATGTGCCCTATATTCAATAAGACCAGCAGTGTTGGTTGGAATCTGTCAAAAGATATATATTACAAAAACGAAGACCAACCTAACAATGAACCATATAATCGAAGAAAAAAGATATTAGATTATAATCAATGGAATATTGTCTTGATATTGCGATACTTACAAAGTGCTTGCAAACATCACATTTTGGATGGTAGCTTTCCTTATAGCAAGATTTATGGTAAGGGTAATGCCCAGATGTAGAAAACTGCATATATTTACGACCAAAAGTTAACTCGCAAAAGTACCATTGCTGAAATAATTTAAATCATGATGATGATGGATGCAAGAAGAAAACTATATTTATTCAAGCCATAACATCCCTTCTTCTAATTTGTCCAAATTCACATCCACAAACCAGACCAAATAAAAAGAAGTAATTTTTGCACCTCATAATCAGAAATTGGTAGGTTGCATGCACGACAACGGAAACATTCTGGATGCCAAACTGCATTCAGGCAATTCAAATATCGTCCAAAACCAATCTCAGCATTGCAACCAGCACAAATCCTACCACAAAGAATGAATATGGTAAATCAACAAAAGTCAAATATGGCAAATATTGTGAAGTTGCAGATTATTGATGCATCAACAGGCAGCTTGGTGTTCAGTGTGGTTGATGCAGAAAAACAGCTAGATTTCCAAAACTTAAATCCTTTAACACTGAATAAATTGCTAAGATTTCAAATGTCATAAACTAACATCACATCAACTCAAGTTTCTGACCCAAAAAAAAAAGAGAAAAGGTTTCTTTATTTGTCATTCTCAAACACAGTGATTTGAAAATGCCATCAGCGTACGCAATCAGGTCAAGCAAAAGAAATAAAAAAACTTCAATGTAATGGAAGCATAAAAGAATGATTCAGGGTACAAAACAGAGAGGGTAAGGACTGAGAATACTAAGGAGCACGAAAATATGAGAAATGAGATTGCTTCATACAATTACAAGTTATAGTTTCAAAGACCATTTTATACATCCATGGGGTAATCAAGCACTAAGCAACAAGAAGGAATAATGAAATGAACTAGCACCAAAGTTGACAATATAGTTTTCCATCATATAATCATATACCTGGACCCCATTGGGTAGTACATGGGGATAGGTTGATATGTATTTCCATTTCCATATCTGGGAGGAGGGATAGGTTGATATGTATTTCCATTTCCATATTGGGGAGGAGTGCTAGGTTGATATGTATTTCCATTTCCATGTTGGGGAGGAGACTCCACATTCAGACTTTCTTGTAGGGCTCTGGCAAGTTGTTCATCTTCTTCCAACTGAGAATCAAAACCTATCCACGAATATGAAATTCTTATTAATTCATATTGTATCATTGGACATTACAAGGACAGACATAATGCATCAATAGCTCTGCCACGACATGGAAGCCAAAGCCACCATCATGCAATGTATAATTCAAAATGCCACTGCACAAATTTTGGTATGTTTTCTAGACTCCGAACGGTAAGAATAATTTCATTTTATCGGCAATTGTATGCAACCAAAATACCATGACAATATAAAAACAGTGACTAAAGATGTAATGCCTAAAAGAGCACACAAGAAGGAATATACAACATGAAAACATTTACAATAGCATCTGTATGAAAAATCACTCACCAACCACAATTTTTCCTTTTTGATTTTCTTCTAAAAGAGATAGTGCAATAGCACGGTCTATATCTTCATTCTCGTTTTCTGACCAGACCTCCTACATTGAAGTTTCCCACGACAATATATTAAGGGAGTTCAAGCATACCAATGAAGATTAAAAAAGGCTGAGATTTCCAAACTAAGGCTATCAATACACTTTTATATGCATGCATATACATACATACAAGAGTGTTAGTTGTGTTACAAACACTAAGAAGTGGTAGAAGTTATTACCCCGGAACAAGAAGGTCCACAGTTATTTGGATCCTCTCCATAATTCTCACG